ATTCTCCCACTAATGCATCATTTTAAGAAAATGTCATCTAAATATTGTACTAAAAAAATCATTTGACATATTTCTAAAATGAAACTGATACCGGTACTTGGATCAAAAGCTACGATGTGTTACTTTAAGAACGTTTTTCAAAAAGTTTTTCTTTTCCCTTTTACGACGATGTGCTACTTTGTGTTTGACCTCGTAAACTTGTTTTTATGTGATTAAATTTTAAAAGGCTGAATTGACATAGGTATTTCAGCATCATGTTTTAGTGTAATTCTCATTAAAAGGGTGTTATTTTTGTCCTTAGGTGATGACAGCAGTGCCAGGTCCTGGTGTGGTGATTGACTACACCAAATCTGATGCCTGGGCTGTGGGGGCAATCTCCTATGAGATATTTGGACTGCATAACCCTTTTTATGGAGCCGCTGGACTGCAAAGCACAAACTATCAGGAGAAGCAGCTCCCTCCTCTGCCTGCTCGCGTTCCAGCCGATGTGCAGTTAGTTATAAGCCTGCTTCTCAGAAGGAACCCAAAAAAGGTAAGGAAGGTGTGACGGTGAGATGATTGTGATACAGATGTTGGTTCTGCAGCATCATAATTAAGATTTCTACTGAAACCTGCTCTAACTGCATGATCTTCCTCCTCAGCGTCCAAGCGCTCGTGTAGCAGCCAACATGCTCGCCCTAAGCCTCTGGGGTCGCAGGGCCCTGGCCAATCAGGACAGCGCTGGCATGAGAAAACTGGCTGATTGGCTGCTGTGCCAGTCTGCTGTGGTTCTCCTGCAGGGCTGCAGTGGACCCAGTGGGAACAGAGTGGAGGCGGAGCTACAGAGGAGCTTTCTGTCAAACCTAGAGCTGGAAGACCTGCGCGCTGCTGTAGGCTTCCTCCTTTACGGGCGAGAGAAAAGCCACGCCTGCATCATGTTTGCATAGATTCACACTTTAAATTACAACCTTAAAGTAAAACTCCCTCATCTGCTGTCTGCATTACTCCCACTAGTTAATAAACTGTGAGGTGTTATGTCTAATATCCATCAGTTTGAGCACTTTTTTCTGTTTGCTGTGTTTTTAATTGGTGTTATACACAATATGCCTGCAAAAATCTTTAAATAAGTTTGACTTGTTGTGTTCAAGAAAAGCTTCCAACAACCTTCATGAAAATTGCATCATATCTAACAAGTACTTTGCATTGATATTTTAAAAAAAAATGCCACCAGTGTCCCTGCATCTAGTTTTCATTAAAGTATTTCCCCCAAAACGAGTCATCGGTTAATGGAAAGTACTGGTGGCTGCTTGTTTTTTTTGTTTTAAGAGTTGAAAACCCTCAAACCTGCAGTCATTTTTAAACCCTAGTAAAAGTTTAGGTTAATGGAGATATTTTAAATTAATTAATAATACTAATTTATTGTTCTGTGTGCTTTATTTGAAGCACATGGAAACGTCGGGATGACAGGCTTTGAGTTGTTTTCCTGTTTGCACTTTATGTCCAAGTTTGCACATTGTTGGAACTCTTTAAAAATAACTTAAACTTCAATTTCAGATGTATTTCATCAACGTACTAATTTTAATTACAAGAGTTGGTGGCTGTAAATGTTCAATAAAGAGCAATGCATATTTTTCAAATATGTAAATATCATGTCTGAAAATAAAAATCCGGGGGTCTGCCCGTCTTTATTTTGAAGGAAAGTGATCTTTGACTTGTTTTTTTGTCTTGATGAGAATAGGTAGTTTAATGGAGCTGCCTTACCTGTTAATGCTTCAGTTCCATAGTTTTCCTGTGGACTTTTCTCTTGAATATAAGCAAGCATAAAACAGCTTTGTACCCCTCAAACTACAGATTATTCTGATGTGAGTCGACAGAACTGACAAATACTCCTGGATAGGTGTTACAAAATCTGTAGAAAAAACTAAGCGAATCTCAGTGTTCTTGAATTTGAGCCTGTTTTATCAGCAGGGTTTTAGCCATTTGCGAGGTAGTAGCTCATCTGTTGGTTGGGATCAAACATCACAGGCTTTGATCCTGAACCAATGGTACAATTTGGATTGTTTTTCTATCATTTTTAATTAATTGGTATATGTCTACAGAATAAAATATTTCAAGTCATATGTTGATTATGACTTGCAAAAAATACAAGCCCCAAATTCAGTGTTTTAAGACATGAATTAAATGATGTGATTAAATAATCTACGTTATATAATGTAATCTTGCATACATGCAACCTTGCCGGAAGAAGGTTCCAGATTTGATTCCCGGCCCGAGGTCTTTCTGCATTGAGTTTGCATGCTTTCCCTGTGCATGCATGGGTTCTCTCCAGGTACTCCAGCTTCCTCCCACAGTCCAAAAACATGACTGTTAGTTTAATTGCCATCTCTAAATTACCCTTACGTGTGCATAGCTGTATGTCTCTGTTGCCCTGTGACAGACTGGCAAACTTTTAGAGTGTATCCTGCCCATAGACTGAGGCAGGGTTACTTATTAGCTGCACGTAATACAGCGAATAAGTAACATGCTTTTTCAATTTTGTTAAATATTCTAATTTTATGAGATATTGAAATCAGGTCTTATTATAATTTGTTCTATAGATCACCTTTGATGCAAGCTGACTGCTGCTAAGCATGAACAAAATCAGGAGAACTAGTCATCGGGTCATCACACTTTGGTTCCCTGAAATAAAGAGATGATCTGTGTTTACTTCTCGATAGTCGTTACATTCTGCATAATCAGCATAAGCACTGAATACTGCAACTAATAGGGTTTACTACCAGCAGTGTCCCTTAGTGGGTTCTCAAAACAAATTAGAAAAAACACGACTTTACTTTAAGAGAACTTTATTTTAGATTCAATCTGACAAGTCACAATCTGAACATTTCAGAATTAATATAGGGACAGAGAAAATTATCATTTTTCAGTTGTCTCGCACCACATTTAATATTCCTCTCCTTCCTCCTCTCCTTCACCCTCAATCGAGTCGACTCCCACCTCTTCGTAATCCTTCTCCAGAGCAGCCATATCCTCTCGTGCCTCAGAGAACTCCCCTTCCTCCATCCCCTCCCCCACATACCAGTGGACGAAGGCCCTCTTTGCGTACATCAGGTCAAACTTATGGTCCAGCCTGGCCCAGGCCTCTGCAATGGCGGTGGTGTTGCTCAGCATGCACACGGCCCTCTGGACCTTAGCAAGGTCTCCCCCAGGGACTACAGTGGGTGGCTGGTAGTTGATGCCAACCTTGAAGCCAGTGGGACACCAGTCCACAAATTGGATCGAGCGCTTGGTTTTAATGGTGGCGATGGCAGCGTTGACGTCTTTAGGCACCACATCGCCACGGTACAGAAGACAGCAGGCCATGTACTTGCCGTGACGAGGGTCACACTTAACCATCTGATTGGCCGGCTCGAAGCATGCGTTGGTGATCTCTGCCACTGAGAGCTGCTCATGGTAGGCCTTCTCTGCAGAGATCACCGGGGCATAGGTGGCCAGAGGGAAGTGGATGCGGGGATATGGTACCAGGTTGGTCTGGAACTCTGTCAGATCAACATTCAAAGCACCATCGAAGCGAAGGGAGGCAGTAATGGAGGACACGATTTGGCTGATGAGCCTGTTCAGGTTGGTGTAGGTGGGGCGCTCAATGTCGAGGTTCCTGCGACAAATATCGTAGATGGCCTCGTTGTCCACCATGAAGGCACAGTCAGAGTGCTCCAGGGTGGTGTGGGTGGTCAGGATGGAGTTGTAGGGCTCAACCACTGCAGTGGACACCTGAGGGGCAGGATAGATGGAGAACTCCAGCTTGGACTTCTTGCCGTAATCAACAGAGAGACGCTCCATCAGCAGAGAGGTAAAACCAGAACCAGTTCCTCCACCAAAGCTGTGGAAGACCAGGAAGCCCTGCAGCCCTGTGCACTGGTCAGCCTGTGGTAACAGAAATTCACATGTAATGTGGGTTTATACTGTATACTCTCTACCAGCTATATTTGGTGTCAGTCTCAGATTTAAAACTGTTCTCTTGTTGCTATGACCTTGATGAAAGGTAACTAGTGTCATCTTCTCTACAGAATACTTGGAGAACAGACATTTTGAAGAGTGTGAATGAACACCAGTTTTAGGGGTGTTCTGAATATGGTTG